AGAATGCACAGCCACTGCCTTGCGAATAATTAAATTGTCGCGCACTAATTTGCGAACTGCAAAGCGGCTGTTGGCCAACGCGATGTCGCCGCCTTCGTTCGGGTCGAGCCAAACGCGGCCGCGGCCGCATTTTAAAATTGAGGCCGCCAGGCGCTTCTGCAGGCGCAGCGACTGCAGCACACACCCACACACGCTGCTGCTGCTGCTGCTGCTGCTGCTGCTGCTGCTGCTGCGGAGCAGCAGCAGCAGCAGCAGGAGGAGGAGCAGCAGCAGGAGGAGGAGGAGGAGGAGGGGAAGGAAGCAGGGGAGAGGGGGAGAGGAAGAGGCGGAAGAAGGGGGGAGAGAGCGGCAGGATGGCAGCGACCGGGGGAAGCGGAAGCTGCTGCTGCTGCTGCTGCTGCTGTTGCTGTTAGTGCTGCAGCAGAGGGTTCAGTGGTTTAATTAAGAACAAATGAAGGCAGAAATGCAAAAAAAAGAAGAGCGGCCAGCAAGAACTCGCTGCTGCTGGCCCCACCCCACAGCGCGAATGCTGCTGCTGCTGCTGCGGCGGCGCTGCTGCTGCGGCCCTCAGCCATTTCCGCTTCGCAGCAGCAGCAACGCAACAAAAACGCAGCTTTGCAAGAAGAGGAATGCCCAGAATTCAACAACGCCCCCCGCAGCGCCGCAGCAGCAGCTGCTGCTGGGGGGGAGCTGCAGCAGCTGCAGCAGCAGCAGCGCCTACCATTTTCCCTGGGCGGAAGACGGCGGCGCTGCGGCTCTTTCCTTTCTTCCTTTTTCCCTTCTCTTTAAATTCCTAAATACTCCTCGAGTGGCTGCAGAGCCCCTATCGACACTGTGCTGCTGCTGCTGCTGCTGCGGCTGCGGCCGCAGCAGCAGTTGCTGCAGCAGCAGCAGCAGCGGCTGCCGCAGCTCCAGCTGCAGCCCTGCTGCTCTCCTGCATGCACCAACCGAGAACCAAAGCTGCTCTTTTCAATTCCCTTTGCATTTCTTTTTTATTTTTCGCAAAATTAATTCAAAAACTAACTTTTAAATGCACATTTTGGCTCTAGAGGCCCCGCCCTTCGCGCAGCCACTGCAGCGGCCGCAGCCAACAGCAGCAGCAGCAGCTCCAGCGAGCCGCTGGAGCCCCTGTAGCCATTTAGCAGCAGCAGCAGCAGCAGCAGCAGCAGCAGCAGCAGCAGCAGCAAAATCCATTTAGAGGCAAATAAGCGAAATAGTTTAGCCCAGAGGGTATGGGGGGCCCCCAATTTTGTGTGCAGTAAGAACCGGGGGGCCCCACTGCAGGCTGGGGGCCCCTGCAGCAATTTGCTGCGCTGCTGCTGCAGCTAGCAGCCCGCAGTCCCCTTTTGCTGCTCTTTTAGCAGCAAATGGTTTAATTAAATACTTTTATTAGTTTTAAATGCTAATAATTAGAAAAGGTATTTAAACAGTTGCAAAATGACTCTGCTGCACTGCGCGGGCGGCTGCGGGGGCCCCCCAGCAACGGCTAAGGGGCCGTAGGGGCCCCCAAGTGCTAACAAATACTTCAAGGTGGCGGGGCTGCTGCTGCTGCTGCTGTTGCTGCTGCTGCTGTTGCTGCTGCTGCTGCTGCTGCTGTTGAGAGGCTGGCTGCTTGGCTGTTGCTGCTGCGAGTCAGTCAAAAAGACAGCCACTTCATCTGCTGCCTCACCCTGGGAAGCCCTGGGCAGCGCGGGACTCTGCCGCATTTTAAACAATTGCTTTTTGTCTTTTTCTGGATTTTGATTTTGCTGCTGCTTCTGCTGCTGCTGCTGCTGCTGCTTTATTAGTATTGTTTGTGCCCCACAAAGCCCTTAGTAAGGCTCTTTATTTGTCCTAAATTAGGGGATAGCAGACTTAGAGAAAGGTTGTAGAAAGGGCTGTTTGCCTGGGGGCGTCCTTTTTGCTGCTGCGTTGCTGCTGCAGCAGGGCTGCAGCAGCGCAGCAGCTGCTGCTGCAGCGCGCGGCTGCCGACAGACAACATGCAGCAGCAGAACGAGGGGCTGCTTCCAGGCAATTGTTCATGCTGCAGCACTTGCAATAATTTAAAGTCTGAAGGGACTTGCGAAACAATTCAAGTTTGCTGCTGCGGCGAACGAAACGGGGCCTGCTCGCTGCAGAACTCAAGTTTCCACCCACGCAGGCAAGACAAGCCCAGTTTGCAGATATTAAGGAATAATTGGAATTATATTTAATAACTTGACTCTAAAAACGGAATTATATTCCGCAATTACCCGCGTGCACTCATTTTCAGCGACAAGTGGGATGCGCCGCGGTGCCTCCAGCAAAAGCGGCATCTGTGAACGATTTGCGTTTCGTGGGGCATTTCTTCTCTTTCGGAAGTTCTTATGGATTAATTTATTTGAATTTATTTCTTCGTTTTTCCTTTTTCCCCAGCGACGGCGATTTTGCAGGCGTTCGGAGCCGGTTTCCCGCGGCGCTGGCGTTGGTTGCTGCAGTTGGCAAGACACTGGAACGCTGCGCTGCTGCGAAGGTGAGGAGAAGGCGGAAAACAAATAATTAAATTCTTTTCCTTTTTGCTGCTGATTATTTGCTGCGTTTTTAATTTGCCCGTCGAAGGCAAAGGCGCTCTCGCGGGCGCGGAGGCTGCACCGCATTGGGCGCGCAGTGTCGCCGCATCTCTCCCCGGATCGACTTGAACTTGGCCGATTAAACAGTGTGTGTGTTTCCTTTGGAGTTCCAATTCAAGTTTTTCATTTTATTCCACTTTCTGTTCTTTTATTCGCCGCTTTTTCCCCTCCCACGCTTCTTGCGCAGCGAATTCAAGTTTGCACAATGGCGCAGCGCGTTTTCATCGTCACCGGCGGCAACAAGGGCATTGGCTTCGAAACGGCGAAGAAACTTTGCCGGGATTTGAAAGGCGAGAATGCAGTTGTTGTAATTACTTCGAGAGACAAAGAAAATGGCGTTGTAAGCAGCAAAAAAGACTTCAACGCGCTGCACTCAGTCCGCAGCACACAGCTGCACACGGCGGTGTGCCGGCCCACACTGCGGAAACCTCCGATTATTCCCGCATGCACTTTGCAGCTTTTTTCGGAGTTTTTAATTCTCGAAATGAGGGTTTTCGGGGCAATTGAAAGCTGCGGGTGTGCGCAGCAAGCGCGTGCTGCTGCCGACGGCGAAATTCAAGTTTGCTGCTGCTTGCTGCTGCGTGTCTTCTGGCTGCTTCGCCGCAGCAAGCCCTCGCGAAACTCGCCGCCGAAGGCCTCAAAGCTGAAATGGAATTGCTGGATATAACAAAGAAAGAAAGTCGGGAAAGTTTTGTGGCGGCGATAAAGAGCAAGTACGGCCACGTCGATTCGCTGGTGAACAACGCGGGTGAGCGCGCGCTGCCGATCTCGCTTCAAAAGGCGAATTAAATCCCAAATTTCATAATTTTAAACCTTTTTTCGCAAATTTAATATTATTTTTGTCCTTTTTAACCGCTTAATCGCAAAAAATGAGCTGCTTTCCACCTGCTTTCCCCCCCGTTCATCTTTTCAGGTTTCGCCTTCAAGAAAACAGCGACAGAGCCAGTTGCTGTTCAGGCCAAATTCACCTGCGGCATCAACTACTACGCAACGAGAGACGTAAACCCTAAACCCTCAAACCCTAAACCCTAAACCCTAAACCCTAGAGCACAAGTCGAAGTGGCTAACTCGAAGCCCTAGAGCCAGAGGCGCGAATCCCGTTTTGCTGCTGGAGGCTACACATGGATGTCTTTGGCCTGCTGCTTCGTTTCTGGTCATTTTTTTGACTTTTTGTTTCGTTTTTGTTTTATTTTTGTTTCTTTTTTGTTTTATTTCGTTTTATTTCGTCTTATTTGGTCTGTTTTTGCGCAAATTGCTGCAGATCACCTTGGACATGGTCGGCCTTTTCAAGTCCGGCTCCCGCATCGTCAATGTGGCTTCGTTGGCCGGCGAAATGGCTCTGCAGGAAATGTCCGCTGAGCTGCGCCACCGCCTAATGAGCAGATCTGCAAAGCAAGAGGTGGGCTTTTCGCGCGGAATCTCGAATCAAACTGGCGGAAACTTCGAGTTAAAATGTTTAAATTTATGATTTAAATTATTAAATTCATCATTTAAACCAAATAAACATTAAATTCCCCCAATTCCACCACGGATCAGTGCTAAGAAACGAGGCCGCGTGCTGCACGCACTTCTTTGCTGGCCGCGATCACGGGCTGGGCTGCCTCGTTGTCCAGTTCAAGTTCTGCCTTGTTCATCTCTCTTGAGTTATTTATTTTAATTATTTTGAAATAAATAAACTTAAAATAAATAACTCAAAAGAAAGAAATTAAGCTGCAGCTTCTTCCGTGTCGGATCGGCGCCGCCTCGAGATCTGCATTTTCGTGCAATCTTTCACTTTTGAATTCGTGAATTTCATCTTTTCGTTTTATTTTCCGCTGCCATGCCGCCGAGCTTCTCGTTTATATTTAAAATTAAAAAAGATTTAAATTATAGTTATAATGTTTGATGGAAATTTTCTTTTTTCAGGATATCGACAAAGTGGTGGATGAGTTCATCATTGCATGCGAAAAGGGGCAGCAAGAGGGCTGGCCTTCCTCGACTTACGGCCTTTCCAAGGTAGGAACTTGAATTACTTGAGTTTTAATTCAATTCAAAATGTTGCTTTGTAATAGCAGCTGCAGCAGCAGCAGCAGCTGCAGCAGCAGCAGCAGCAGCAGCAGCTGCAGCAGCAGCAGCAGCAGCAGCAGCTGCAGCGGCAGCAGCAGCAGCTGCAGCGGCAGCAGCTGCAGCGGCAGCTGCTGCTGCTGCAGCTGGCAGCAAGGAGACAAAAGCCAGCTCCGGAGCCCATCCCTTTGGCTTCTGTGCTTCTTTGCAATATTTTCGTGAACGAGGGTTCAGGGCTTCACCCGCTGCTGCTGCTGCTGCTGCTGCTGCTGCTGCTGCTGCCTCAGGCTGCGCTGATCGGCTTGACTGCTGCTTGGGCCCGCAAGGTCGACAACTGCCCCTCTATGGAGGCCTGCAGGGATATGGTGATTACTTGCTGCTGCCCCGGTGAGTGCAGCACTTACTGGCTCTCCTGGCTTGCTGCAGCAGCTTGCTGCAGCAGCTTGCTGCAGCAGCTGGATGCAGCAGCTGGATGCAGCAGCTTGCTGCAGCAGCTGGATGCAGCAGCTTGCTGCAGCAGCTGGATGCAGCAGCTTGCTGCAGCAGCTTGCTGCAGCAGCTTGCTGCAGCAGCTTGCTGCAGCAGCTTGCTGCAGCAGCTGGATGCAGCAGCTGGATGCAGCAGCTGGATGCAGCAGCTGGATGCAGCAGCTGGATGCAGCAGCTTGCTGCAGCAGCTTGCTGCAGCAGCTGGATGCAGCAGCTTGCTGCAGCAGCTAGATGCAGCAGCTTGCTGCAGCAGTGCACTGCTTCTTGAGGAGCTTTCACTAGTCCGCAGCAGCGTGCAGTGGTCTCTCGTTTGCGCGTTCTGAGGGTTTAGGGTTTAGGGTTTAGGGTTTAGGGTTTAGGGTTTAGGGTTTGCTGCAGGGTGGTGCAAGACGGACTTGGCGGGCTGGGAGGCCCCGCCACTGACAGCAGCAGATGGGGCCAACGTGGTGGCGCCTCTGGCCCTCAGCAGCAACAAGCAGCAGCACCACGGCAAGTTCGTCCGCAGCAAAGGCATTGTTGACCTTTCTGAGGACTGAGCAGCAGCAGCAGCAGCAGCAGAAGCAGCAGAAGCAGCAGCAGCAGCAGCAGCAGCAGCAGCAGCACCACGGCAAGTTCGTCCGCAGCAAAGGCATTATCGACCTTTCTGAGGACTGAGCAGCAGCAGCAGCAGCAGCAGCAGCACCACGACAAGGTTTGTCCGCGACGGAGGCATCTTCGACTTCGCCAAGGACCAAGCAGCAGCAGCAGCAGCAGCAGCAGCAGCAGCAGCAGCAGCAGCAGCAGCCGGAGTGGCTGCTTCTATTTTTCCAGCTGGCTGGACTGCGAGAGCGGAATTCCAGGCAGCAGCGAGCAGCAACAGCTGGCTGCAGCAGAGCTGCTACAGCAGCAGCTGCTGCAGCAGCAGCTGCAGCAGCAACAGCAGCAGCAACAGCAGCAGCAGCAGACTTGTTGCTGCTCCCCCTCCAGTGTTGGCGCCCTTGGACGCCAAAATGCAGTTCCAATTGCTGCAGACTTCGCTTTGGCTGTTAACAAGTGCACGCAAATTGCCCAGAAATGGCTAGCTAGCTAGCTAGCTAGCTGGCTAGCTAGCTGGCTAGCTAGCTGGCTGGCTAGCTGGCTGGCTAGCTAGCTGGCTAGATAGATAGCTAGATAGGTAGCTAGCTGGCTGGCTAGCCAGCTGGCTAGCTGTTGCGTAGCTAGTTTGCCAGTTAGCTGGACTTCGCTTAGATGGCCAGCTAGCTAGCTAGATGGCTAGCTAGCTAGCTAGCGAGATGGATAGCTAGCTAGCTAGCGAGATGGCTAGCTAGCTAGCCAGATGGCTAGCTGTCGGTCTCGACGGGACGGCTATGGCTGCTGCAAAGAGTGGCACGGCTAGCTAGCCGGCTGGCTAGCTAGCTAGCTAGCCAGCTAGCTGTGTTGCGGCTAGCCAAGGCAGCTGGAGTTTATTGGGACATAGCTTCCACTCCACTACGTCGAGGGTTTAGGGTTTAGGGTTTAGGGTTTAGGGTTTAGGGTTTGAGAGGGTCCACTGCAGCAGCAAAAGCCGCAGCCGCGCCGGCTGTCTCAGCCTCTGAGGCCCTGGCTAGCTGCTTAGCTAGCTATATAGTCAGCTGGCTAGCCAGCTGTTGAGCTAGCTGTTTGGCTAGCTGGCTAGCTGTTTAGCTAGCTGGCTAGCTAGCTGCTTGGCTAGCTGCGTGTACACCTGGGCGGGCGTGTGTAGTGCATGCGTTTGTGGTGTGTACGTACACCCGAAGGGGAGCGCGCGCGGCGAAGTCCCGCAGAAGATTAAAAGTGTTTATATTTGAATTATAAATATATTTAAATATCACAAAAAGCAAAAATAAGTGGAAATATATATTTAATTAAAACAAAAAGTCCGAAAAGAGTTCTTTTGATGGCGCCATTGTGGCGCAGCGGACTTGAACAGAAAAGAGCTTTTTGAATTTTGAGGTGTATGTACAGCTCACTGTGGATTTTATTTCTTTTTTGTGCTGGAAAACAAAAAAGGAATTTCAAATGAATAAAAAAGAACAAAAAAATTCAACTTTTTGGACTTTTTGGAGTCTTTTGATGAGGCTAGTGGCGCGGCGTTGAGGTGTACAGACAGCTCAAAAACCTTTCCACTCTGCTGCTTTTGAGGTGTCTCGACACTTAATTAACAATAATAATAATAATAATAATAATAATAATAATAATAACAATAATAATAATAATAAAATAATAATAATAATGATAATAATAATAATAGTGAGAATAAATATTATTGTTGTTTACAATTGGATTACTGTTATATTGCTGCTTTTGCACTTATCCTGCATGCATTCCTTGTGGAAATTCTTTACTAAAAAATTTAAAAGTTTTAAAAAATAAAAATGAAAACCATTTGAGCAGAATGTGGGTAATTTCGGGTGTACGTACACCCCAATTGCGGCGTTCAGACAGCAGCAGGAGGCGGCAGGGGTATTTGCAATGGGGGAAAAGTTCATTTGTTTATTTTTTGGATTATTTTGAATTATTCAACTCAACTAAATGGATAAACTGCTGCTGCTGCAGCGTTTGCTGCTGCTCCGCCGCCGCAGGAAGCAGCAGCAGCAGCAGCGCTTTTTTGCTGCTGCTGCCCCACACACAAAGCCGCCGAGGGGCCGCAGCAGCAGCAGCAGCAGCAAAAAGGCAAGAAAGGGAGGCTGGAGGTGCTGCTGGCAGCAGCAGCAGCAGCTGGCGGCCTCCAGAAGCAGCAGGAAGCACTGCTTAAGGGCGAGGGTTTAGGGTTTAGGGTTTAGGGTTTAGGGTTTAGGGATTGCAGCAGAAGCACGCGCAGTGCAACAAAAGAATATTTTGGTTTCATATTTTGGAATATATTTCGAGAGGTGCAGCAGAAGCAAAATGCTGCAGTGCTGCAGCAGCTGCAACACTGATGTGGCCCACAGAGCAGCAGCAGCAGCAGCAGCAGCAGCAGCAGCAGCAGCAAGGCTGTCCTTAACACACTAACGATAAAACTGTGGATTCTTAGAGCCAACTAAATAAGAAGAGTACAGTTCATCTTCTTTAGGCGTGTCTGCTGCATCGATCCGCTGCTGCTGCTGCTGCTGCTGCTTCAGCTGCTGCTGCGGCCCACAGCAGGAGCAGCCGCAGCAGCAGCAGCAACTGCTGCTGCTTTCCCAGGGACACAGCCAGTTCTTTTTGGCTGCAGTGTTTTGTGTATGCTTCTGTGCTGCAGCTTGTTCTGCGTAGATTTTGCCTTGATTGCTTCTGCAGCAGCAGCCACCGCAGCAGCAGCAGCAGCAGCAGCAGCAGCAGCAGCTGCAGCAGCACCCTGGTAGGGATTTCTTGTGGCATCTTGCTGCTTCCTGTTACTGCGCGTTGTCCCGCTGCACTGCTTTATTGTTTTCTTTTGTTTTTTTTTGTTTTTTTCTTTTATCAAAACAACTGTTGCAAATAGAGCAGCAGCAGCAGCAGCAGCAGCAGCAGCAGCTTCCTGGGTGCTGCTCTCCCGCCCCTTGGCTGAGTGACCTCGAGGCCTTTGTCCTTCTCTTCTTCTTTTCTTTATATTCTTTCCTTTGCATCTATTAGCGCCGGCTGCTTCTTTGTTATAATTTGCGAGTTGCTGCTGCTGCATTTCTGCCTTTCTAGCCCTCTGCAGCAATTCGCAAAATGAAGGCTGCTGCCTCCGCAGATGCAAACTGCAGCAGCAGCCCGCCCTCGGACCAGCAGCCAGACGCAGCAGCAGCAGCAGCTGCTGCTGCTGCTGCTGCTGCTGCTGCCCCCTTACTAGATGCAGCGCAGCAGCTGGGCCCCCAGCAGCCTGCTGCTGCTGTGGAGCAGCTGCAGCAGCACATTGCAGTTCTGCCCCCGGTGATGCTGCTGCCCAGCGTGGCCGCGCCGTCACCAGCAGCAGCAGCAGCAGCAGCAGCAGCAGCAGCAGCAGCAGCAGCAGCAGCAGCTCCTGCTGCTGCTGCTGCCCCGCACACACCGCAGCAAACAACTGTAGACACGCTCTGCACCCGTTCAGAGGAGACTTTTTTTTGGCAGCGGCCGCCGCAGGAGGAGGAGGAGCAGCAGCAGCAACAGCAGCAGCAGCAGCAGCAGCTGCAGCAGCAGCAACAGCAGCAGTTGCAGCAACAGCAACAGCAGCAGTTGCAGCAGCAGCAACAGCAGCAGCTGCAGCAGCAGCAACAGCAGCAGCTGCAACAGCAGCTGCAGCTGCAGCAGCAGCCGCGGCAGCAGCAGCGGGGTTGCAAGGACATCGAGTTCCCGCAGCACGTGCAGCAGCAGCTGCAGCAGCTGCAGCTGCAGCAGCTGCTGCAGCTGCAGCAGCACCTGCAGCAGCAACTGGAGCTGATGGGCGGGCAGCAGCACTCTGAACAGGATAGCAACTTAGTAAAGGACTTCCAGCAGAAGCTGCTGCTGTGCCAGCTGCAGCAGCTGCTGCAGAGCAGCGCAGCAGCAGGGGGCCCCCATTTGGCCTTGGGGGGCCCCCCCAGCAGCAAGCAGCAGGGGAAGCAGCGGCAGCAGCGTAGACAGCGGCAGCACAGACGCCGGCAGCAGCAGCCGCAGCAGCAGCAGCAGCAGCAGCAGCAGCCTCTACAGCCGGCGCGGCAGCAGCAGCAGCAGCAGCAGTTCGGAGCAGCAGAAGAAGCGCTGCTGATGCTGGTGGATGCGCCAGAAGCAGACTCTTGGAAGGGCCAGCAGCAGCAGCAGCAGCAGCAGCAGCAGCAGCAGCAGCAGCAAGAGCAGCAGCAAGTAGAGAATGTGAGCAGCCGCCCAGACCAGCTGCAGGTGGTGCAGCGCTTGCTGCCACTAGCGCAGATGCTGCAGCGGCAGGAGCAGCAGCAGCAGCAGCAGCAGCAGCAGCAGCCCGGCGCCAGCAGCAGCAGCAAAAAGGACCCCAACCGCCGCAGCAGCAGCACGGTGAGCAGCGGCACTGCAACGGCGCCGGGCAGCTGCAGCAGCACGGGCGGCCGCAGCAGCACGAGCAGCTTGTCTGCGTCTGCTGCGCTGCCTGCTGCTGCTGCTGCTGCAGCTGCTGCTTCGAACAGGGCCAGCAGCAGCGGCAGCAGCAGCAGCAGCAGCGCAGCAGCGCCTGCAGACGTAGCTGACGTGCTGCCGCTGCTGCTGGACATGAGCCTCGGGGTGAAGCCGGCAGCAGCAGCAGCAGGGCCGGAGGCAGCAGCAGCAGCGCAGCCGCAGCCGCCCGCAGCAGCAGCAGCCCGCGAAGCAGCAGCAGCAGCAGCAGCGCCTGCAGCAGCGCCTGCAGCAGCAGCAGCAGCGTCAGCGCCCGCGGACTTAGCTGCTGCTGCTCGCGGGCCCCCCGCAGCAGCAGGCTGCGGGCGGAGCCACAGCCACTCGGGCCCCAGCAGCAGCAGCAGCAGCAGCAGCAGCAGCAGCAGCAGCAGCAGCAGCAGCAAGCCGCGGCCCTCGCTCTCGCTGCCCTCGCTGCAGCAGCGCATGCAAAAAACCAAAATGTGCCGCTTCCACTCCCTCGGCTGCTGCAGCAAAGGGCCCCTTTGTGTCTTCGCCCACGACTCCAAAGAACTCCGCGAAAGACCCAACTTAATTCGGACTCGTCTGTGCCCTTTTATGCTTCCGGGGGGCCCCCCGGGGGCCCCCCGGGGGCCCCCGGGGCGAAGGGGGGCTCGTTGGGCGCGGCGTCGGGCGGCGGAGCTGCTGCTGCTGCTGCTGCTGCTGCTGCTGCTGCTGCTGAGGGCAGGGGGCACCCCGCGCACAGAGCTTCGGACTTGTCCTCGTTTCGGTGGCGCAGGTCGCAGCAGCAGCAGCAGCAGCAGCTGCAGCTGCACCAGCAGCAGCTCCAGCAGCAGCTCCAGCAGCAGGAGCAGCTGCAGCAGCAGCTCCAGCAACTCCAGCAGCTGCAGCAGCTGCAGCAGCTGCAACAGCAGCAACAAGCCCTGGTAGAAGACTGGCAACACGCAAGAAGCCTCGGAGGCCGTGGCAGCAGCAGCAGCAGCAGCAGCAGCAGCAGCAGCAACGGCGCAGCAGGCGAGGGCGGGTGGGAGCTGAGGCCCCCCCAGGGCCCCGTAGAAACCCCCACGGCGCTGCAGCAGCTGCTTTCATATGTGCTGCAGCAGCAGCAGCAGGGCCGTTTTGATGCAGCAGCAACAGTTGCTCTAATAGAATCTTTGGGGGCCCCTGGCTTTTTGCCGGATCCGCTCAGCAGCAGCAGCAGCAGCAGCAGCAGCAACGCGGCGCTGCTGTGCGCAGCAGCAGCAGGAGGCTGGCTCCCTGCTGCTGCTGCCTTGGCCGACCCCGCGACGGCGCCTGCTGCTGCAGCGCAGCAGCAGGGGCCTCTAGACATTGCAGCAGCAGCAGCTGCTGCTGCTGCTATGGTTGGCGCGGCGGGCACTGCAGCCCAGCAGCAGCAGCAGCAGCAGCAGCAGCAGCAGCAGCAGCAGCCGAAGCTGCGGCTGCCGCCGCCGCCTGCAGCTGCAGCCCTGGGTGTGGCGGGCGCAGCAGCAGCTGCGCCGCTTTTGGCGCCCCCGGGCTCCCCCCGCAGCTGCAGCAGCAGCAGCAGCAGCAGCAGCAGCAGCAGCAGCATAGATCTGAAGCAGCTCGGAGGACTGCCCCAGGAGTTCTCCTCAGAGTCTTCCACCATTTGTCCTTTTTCCGCAACGACGGCTTCGGCCCAAAGCAACAAAGACGCCAAATAAATCTCTGCATATCTCTTGCCCCACACTTGCATGCATGCGTGCATGCATGCATGCATGCATGCATGCATGCATGCATGCATGCATGCGTGCATGCATGCATGCGTGCATGCGTGCACCTCTGCATGTGGCATGCATGCATGCATTCATGCGTGCATGGATTCCTGCATGCATGCATGCATGCAGCTGTGTATGCATGCATGCATGCATGCATGCAGCTATGCATGCATGCAGCTATGCATGCATGCATGCATGCATGCATGCAGTTGCTTGTTTGGGGGCCCCGCAGCGGCTAGGGTTTAGAGGCGGCTTGGCGAGGAGGGCCCCGTAGATGTTTTTGGATTTGTATTTAGAAATGAATTTGCATGCATTATATGTTTGAAGCTGCTGGGGCCCCTAGCAGCAGCAGCAGAGGCCCCCGCGGCTTTTCTCTTTTGCCTGCTGCTGCTGCTGCTGCTGCCTGCGGGCGCTGCAGCAGCAGCAGCAGCAGCAGCAGCAGCAGCAGCAGCAGCACGGCGTGCGGGGGCTCTGAGCGCGCGGAGGGCCTTCGCGGCCCCGGCTTATTCGTGAGCACTTAGGCATAGAAGCATCTGAATGCTGCAGCAGCAGCAGCAGCAGCAGCAGCAGCTGCTGCTGCTGCTGCTGCAGCAGCTGCTGCTAACGTTGAGGGATTTGTCATGGCTTTGCTGCTCCGCAGCAGCAAGGGTGAAAGGTAGCCCGCT